TCTACAGGGAGAAGTCCAGCTGAACTTCGTTGGGGGCGCCAACTTACTACGAGACTTGACCGGTTGCATCCGGACAGACTGCCTTCATCTACCTCACATCCTAGGGCACCTAGACAACTACTTGTGGGTGCCCCGGTTTGGGCTCGCAATTACGGGCCTGGTCATACATGGGTCCCCGCTTCTGTGTCCAGGATCACAGGTCCTCTCTCCTACGAGGTTGCCCTGGACAACGGTCGTGTCCTGCGTCGGCACATCGACCAACTCCGCTCTAGGCGGGACTTTTCTGCTGAAACTCCTGGGTCTTTTCCAGGGGGGGAGGGGGACCCTTTGGAGCAAAGGGAAGGGCAAGAGTTACTGCCCATCTCCACTGAGGGAGCCACAGACGGCCCGTCCCAAGATTCTGCAATTGCTCCGAAAAGGAAGTCATGGAGCTTACCCACACAACAGGCATCCACGCCTACTCCAGCCAGGGAGTCACCCCGGGGGCATACTCACTTCCACACACATCACACAGCACTCCAGCAACGGAGGATACCCGGGGGCATCCCAACAAATCATTCCCCGCAAGAGAGCTGGCACACAATCCCAAGGTTGGCCTGACCTTACCCCAAATCCTACAGGGGGTCAAACATACACAGAGCTAGTCGAGGAACCAAGTCCCGACTACAACACCCCTAGCACAAATCAGGGGACACCTGAGTTTTGGGAGAGTACAGAAACCCACATGAGCCCAAACACAGAATGGGGTTCAGGGAATGGGACAGCCTCCTGACAGGTCTTGGACTGACCTAGGAGGTCCTACAGAGACGCCCAGCAGCGGCTATCACTTCAAGGGGCCTGAGGGTCTACAGCTAGGCAGGTCAACCAGGTCACAAAGCAACAGAAGCCCTGGCCTGACGAGCCCGGTGGGCAAGCAAGCAGGCCAGGCATCGGGGCACAGTCCTTGGAAGACACCAGGGCACAATAGAGAGAATAGGCTCACGCCTCCCTCCAGTCAGGGGACTTATGCCAGTAACCCACAGCTAAGAAGGTCACAGAGAGCAAAGAAATCTCCCAAGTACCTAGAAGACTACATAACATTGCTGGCAAGGCAAAGGCCAGTAAACAGTGGGAGCACTGGGGAGCAAAATGTGCTGTATAAATGCTGTATGTTGGGTAGTTTTAGCCCGGGGGAAAGTCCCGAGCCTTTGCAAACGGCTCGGGCGTTTGCAGGCAGTCCCGGGCAGGTGCAAGCTGCCCGGGACCAGACAGGCTGTCGCCAGCGCCGTGCGCATGCGCGGGTGCTGGCGCGGGAAAAGTAACCCATTTACCCGGGAGTTGCCTATATAAGGGGCTGCGAGGCGTTTGGGCTGAGCTGAAGCCATCTTCCTGTAAGCTGAACGCTGAATAAAGGAAACTGAGAACTCCAGCTGCTTCTCGTGTCTGTTTTCCCGCCAAGGACGCAACATGTCTGTGTATGTGTGTGATCACTGTTAACTATAAAATCAGGTCATAGGTAGTTTTGGAGAGGTCCAACGTAACTTTGAATGGTTGCAGTCAAGGACTACCTGTACTGTACTTTCCAGAAATCCAGAATGTTAAAACTGATAAAACTTCCTGAAAACTACTCTATAAAAGTTAAAGTCCAACACATTTAGAGGCCAGTGGATGGAAAGGTTATGCTATCCTAACAGACCTCTTTCATAATACTCAGCTGATCATCTGATGTTTAGCAATACTATATTTGCAACTGTGCATGCTACTCTTTAATGAAACCACTGTAGAGAATTAATCTAGTCTCATTTTTTTTCAGTTGCTATCAATTATCAGTTATCTAAATGGAAAACTTGTTTGATCGACTTCTTTCAAGAAAAACAAGGATCTAGAGCTTCTGATAATACTGTGCATATTCCATACAGACGAAGTACATGACAGATCCTTATAAATTATTCGATTTTAATATGGCTCCCTGAACTTTCAATAATCTGAATTCATCCTGAATAAAGTAAATGAACTACTGCTGCATTTTTTTAACAGAGCATGAGATCAGATGGAAAAATTCTTAGACTGAAGCAGGCAAGTGCATGCTTATGCTTTTATTTCCTTACTGCACAGGGCTTCTGATTGTATCTTGTTCATGACAGAAGGGTATATATTACAAAAATAATACATGCTCTGCCCTGCATTTCATTTAGTAACAGCGAAATGTTCTGTGAAATTCAGTAAGTTACAGTAATAGACTGGAAACCAGATGCCTGATTGTTTTAAGGATGGAAAGCAAGATTCTGTCCCACATGGAGTAAAGAAAAGAAAACTTTGGAAATACCTAGTCTAAGGCTGTTAAGATGTTGGGTTCTATACAACTCCAATGTGTGTGCCTTGCCAAGTAGTTAAAAATCTATTCCTCTTTTAAGTTAGTTAAGTACAACAAAAGAAAAGGAGAAAGAAGACAGATTCTTTCCCTCGTTTTCTTTTCTCTTTGTTGAAAGAATCAACGTATCAAAATCAAGATCCCTACCCGATGTTAATTTTATGCAAACAGCAGTTTCTGTGAATCAAAACTAAATAGGAGACTGCAAAGGAAAGTTGACTTAGGGAGATCCCATAGGCATCCTTATAAAGAAGGAAATGAAGAGTGGGTATCATCCAATGATGGTTCAATTATATTAAAATTAACAAAGATGCAATCAAGGATTCCACTTCTAAGTAAGTAGTGGGCCTTCCTCCTATTTTCCATAGCAGGATAACAGCATGCAGGTGCCTGAGCAAACTATGAACCAGTAAACACAATTGTTTTCCATGATCCTAGCAAAACTTGTAAGAGTGAATCTAGTTTTTCCACAATTGCTCGAAATGCAATGTGAGAGCAAGAGAAACAATATATTAGCAGTGAGAGAACATTATACATTTTTTTAAAATTATAAATATGATTGAAAAATCTCTGGAGAACCACCACTTTGCTTTTTAATAGAGGAAGATTCCAATTGGGCGCTGTCATCTCAGCAGTGGTGCTAGATAACGAGATTTCACCTGTACGTCACAGGGAATTAACTTAGCTAACCAGAGAGAATTTAATAGGCAGAGGAAGGCACTGATCAGAGTCATGCTACAGAACTGCAGTGTCAAGCATTATTCAGGCAGCAATCCAATACATACTTATTTAGAAGCATGGCTCAGAGGAACTTACTTCTGAGCAGGCCTAAGTAGAATATCAATGCAAATTATTATTATTTGAGGGGTGCAATTTAAGTTGCCTCCTCACACCACTTTATTCTTGGCAGTCCATGAAAAAACACCAGTTGTTATGATAAATGGGTTGGGGTCATTGACTGCCTTAGTGTGACTTCAAATTTGGCAGATGAACAATGTAACTATTATAAAATAGTGAGTCTTGTTTGTACTGTTTTGCTTCTGTAACAAAAGTCTGCAGTTGTTGCTGGGAGCAGCACTGAGATGATAAGATAAAATAAGACAAAATGAGATAAGATGAGGGTAACATCTAGAGAAGCAGAGGGGAAGGAGTGGGAAACTGAGCAATTTGATGGTAAAGAGATAACCATGGACTCCCTTTATTATAAAATAGCCAAGACTGTACATAGACAAAGGATCCTTTGGAGATATGGATCAAAATGTTTAGGGATGCACTGATAAGGTAGTCCCTGACAGAAATCAAGACAGGGAGTTCAAAAGGACTTAAGTACCAATCCCAGTTAATGGAAAGTTCAGGCACACTTAACAACTGAGTCTACAGACTTTTAAGGAGAAGGAACTTGCTTGTGACCACTCCAAGCAAGGTTTGTACTGTTAAGATTGCTGGTGTTATCTGCCTGTCACTGACATCAACAATGACACCCTCAGATACCAGTAATACCAAAGATGCCTCATAAAACAGTACATTTGGCTTAGATTTGTGATTTGTATTCAGTGAAACTTAAATGTGTGGCAAATTTAAAATCAAGTCTCAGGAACCTCCTCCTTGCATGTGAATCTACGAAATGGTCACACATACAGCTGTGATTTTACTCAGCTACTGACAGTGGAAGCAAAACACCCCAAATCCCTCACCCTTGCATGTTTAATTCAGTTTAATCTCAATACAGATAAGCTTTTGATCTGAAAATATCAGGCAATATTAATAGAGAGAAGGAACAAAACATGCTCCAGGAAATTAACATCTGTTTGAATTTAAGCTATGAAAATCCAGAAGTTGTAAACAAATAGTTAGGAGAGTAAAGGTGCTCTTTAGATATCTACAAGTCCCTTACCAATTATGCAGATCCAATATTAGCCCAAATTCTTTCTGCCAACTGCTCAGAGATCTTTAAAAGCTGGAGGGGAAGCACAGCTCAAGAAAAGTTTGAGGCCTGAGACCCTCTTGGCTCCCTCTGAATGCCAAGCCATACAAGAGATTTTTGCTCCCACAGTATGCACTCCAGCCTAAGCGGGTTTACTCCAGCCTAAGCAATCCTGTAAGTTGCTTCCCACCCCTTTCCTGTGATCCTGTTTTAGTATCCTTAGGGACATCCCAAAATCTGCGGGGGGGGCGGGGGAGGCAGTTCTTCACATCCTCCAATGCGTTATAATCGCCACGCCGGAATCTTTCGTTTCAACTCGTCCCCTCCCTTCCCCACTCGGGAGATTTGCAACCTCCCCCCCCCCCCAAAAAAAAACCCCCTCATCCCCTTCTTCTCCCCGCTTTTTTTGTCTTGCTCGAGTTGGGAAATGAGAGACTACCTCATTTCCCAACTCGAGCAAATCCAAAACGCCGGGAGAGGGCGCGTCAAAATATGGCTGGCAGGGCTCGCTCTCGGCCGCCTAAGTGGCAGCCCGAACTGGAGGGAGCCGCGGCCGCTGCCACGTGGAAGCCAGAACCCTGCCTAGTAAGGGAGTGAAGCCATACAAAGAGGGCTTTTCGGGCAACCCCCGATCGCCTACATCCCTCGGCCCCCGCTGCCCCTATATAAGCCTTCCTTCCTTCCAGCCCCGCTTTGCCAAACTGCCCCCCAAGTTAACCAACTCACTTTCGGCTCCAGCTGAAAGTGGCGGGCTGAAATGAAGGCGCGCCTTTTCCCCCTCAAGGCGTTGTTGCCAACCGGCTGCCCCGGGCTCGGGCGGCCGGAACCTCCCCTGCGAGCCGCGGAGAAGGAGGCGGCTCAACCGATTCCGGAGCCCGCTGGCGGCGCCACCTCTGCGCTCCGGCTCGCCTGCCAGCTGCAGGGTCCGCTCAACCTGGAGAAAGAGAAGCGCGTGTTCCGCGCGGTGTGTCCCGGGTAGGAAGTGTTTCTTGCTGCTGTGAAAACGGGAGGGGGGGGGCGAGAGGACTCGAGAGGCTCGTCCGCCTGTGACTTTATAAGGTCATCGGTGCGGGTTTGGGGATCCCTCCGAAAAGAACGTGGGACTTGGGGCGAGATCGCGAGGGGGGGGAGTGAAAAAGTACACGCGCAGCAATGCAGAGAGGTGGTCTTCTCTTAAAAGGTTGCCGGTTCGTTCGCCCAGGCATTTCGGCTCCGCTGGACTCCAGTTTCGATCGCTTTCGTCCCGGCCTGGCTCAGTAACCAATAGGGAAACTTCGTTTGGGGGTGGGGGAGGTGAGGGAGAGCCTTCAGTTCACAGGTGGATCCTTTGCAGCAACAATGTCTAAAGTTGTCGCGGGCTCCCTCACCATAAACGACGGAACCAGAGAAAGGAGAGAAACAGGCTTGTTTCTCTACCCCGTTATAAGCAAATACAAGCACAAGGGGCGTAACGATATAAACGTTGCTATTATAACACAAGTGCAGAAATGTATGTCCCATGGTGCCGTGATGCTTACAGAGCCGTGCAAAACATGTTTGGGGGGGGGGGGTAGTCTAAGAAACAGAGAAAATAGAAGAAAACACGAAGAATTGTGATATTGCCTTAAAGCCCATCTTCTATCAATTGATTCAGCTGAGCTAATCCATGACAATAGGTTTCAAAGTGTCTGGGCTGCTTGGGCTTGCTCCAGGATTTAAAAAAAAAATAATTATGTTTCTCCTTTTCTTCATGCCTTCAGCACTACTACAATGGAGTGCAGAATGAGCTGACATTAATTCAAAAAATATTTTTCACGCTATTTACCATAGGGTAGTGTGATCAGGATCTCTGCAAGCAGGTATGCAAGTTGTGCATGCACAAAAGTACCATAATATGGGACACCAGAATGAGTTTTAAAAATCAGTTCTCCATTCTGAACACCAATTGTGTGCTCAGAAACATCAGATTTCACTTCTTCCAAAAGGAGTGCTATCTGAAGCTATCAGTGCAGCTAACTCTTCAGGTATGCATATTGCTGCGGTTCCAGATAGTTCATTGTAATAAACACAAGCTGTGCAGAATCATCATCTACAAAGCAAACAAAACAACACTTCCCATTGGTTTTCTGAATTAAAGCTTATTCCAAACTTCATGTCTAATCATAATCACTGGCCTGTTGTCTCAAGTTAAAAGAGTAGCAAATGCAGGTAACCTTCCTCACTTAACAAACACACTTGGGACTGACAACTCCTTCATCAAGGGAAGGAATTACTAAATGAAACATTATGTGGCTACACTGGACTTACAGCATCAGTTCCATCATGGCCATTAAGCAAGTCACCTGTGATTGTTAAGTGAGACATCAGATGACTGTGACTTGTGACTTATTGCTGATTTCTCCACCGACTGCTTGTCAGAAGCTGGCGGCAAATGGCAGTCGTGCTTGTGGGACACTGACGGTCATAAGTTCAAGGATGAGTCATAATAGTTACTTTTTCAGCACCATCTTAACTTCAAACAGCCATTAAATAGGGCAGTTGTTAACCAAAGACTACCTATAAAATTCTTAAGGGGAGGGGGCAACAAAACAATATTTTGCCAAAAGTGTCTTACAAATCAGTGGCAGTCCATAATTTTTAAAAATGAAATGGTTTGCAAAATAAAACACTAGCTCACATATAGATAGATTTTTCTTGTTTTTCTAGCTCCCCTTCTTCTAGAGTCTAGTTAAAAATTACTTTCCGAGAAAAGAGGATAAGAATGACATATGTCCTGTGACAAAGAATTCTAAGAATATTGTTTGATGTTCTAAGCCGTATATATCCACAGCTCCTACTGTGAGCTCTTGCTGTGAAATTACTGTCCTCTCATCAAGAGTATTTGCTTAGATTTTCCCCATTCTTATGTCTCTTTGGTTTGTGTTCCTCCATCACTTGTTGTGACATACCAATTCTTGTATCATTTCAAGGACCTTGTAGTTTTGATCCAATGGACTGAAAGACTTTGAAAAAGATAAAAGAGACACTGAGAAAGACAAAGAGACACCGGAATTCTGGTTTAAAAAAAAAATACTTTAAATTTCCTATTCACATTCTTATGCCCTCGGGTGCATCACAAAACACACTCTCTAAACTGGTTATCTCTTGAACTTGCCAGACTAGCTAAGGCAGCTGAGCTCACGTCTATCATGTAGCAAGAACAGGTAAAGGAACAGAAGTCAGGATAGAGGGGGTGGGATAAATAACTACAGTGTGTCAAAGAACATCCAATGTTAGCAGTTATTCATGTGAGGGAAACTACTTGTTGCAACTATGTTAAATTGTTGTAGGGTAGTTTTAGTAGCACTGTAAAGTTAGGGAAATCATATAGGCCAATGCAAGTTAACAGCATGGTACAGTCTAAATGATATGTTATTTGGAAGCTAAAAGCATTTATGATTGTATGTGTGCCTGCACAGATGGAGGAAGTGTTTAGTGACCATAAGACAAGTATAGATATTATGGCTCTTCAGTTGAAGAGACTGCTAAAATATGATGTGTTTTAAGGCAGAAGGATAATTCACCAATTGCTTAGCAATATCCCTCAACTACAAATATTATTTCAGAGCTTTATATTTTTATGCCTATTTAGGGCTCATGCAATGAGCTCAGTTGGAAACTGAACCAAGAAGCCTGCTTAGTGTTGTTTATTCAGTTCAACAAAACTTCATTTTTTGAAAGTCTTCTACTCGAGCCACTCTGTGCATCTGATGAAGTGACTGTAGCTCACGAAAGCTCGTGCCTTTTAATAAAATTGATTAGTTGGAAAAGGTGCTACCAGACTCCTCCCAATTTTTTGAGGAAACAGAATACAGGTGAGACTATGAATACTTGATAGGCTACATGTAACCTGTCTCCTATGTTATGTGGATGTGCATAACTGACCTCTCTCTTCCTCCCTTTCCTTCCCTCTCCCCTGCTTACCTTACTGCAATTTGAATACTTTATGCATCTGCTGAAGTGAGCTGCAGCTCAAAAAAGCTTAATGCCTTAAAATAAAATTGGTTAGTCGTAAAAGTAGACTAACTAGACTGCCACTAGACTAAAATATTGGTGAAGGCTTTCATGGACAGTGTTTCTTGGACAATAGTGCCCAACTGCTTATAGATTCTGACTTTTTGCTGCAAGATGAACTGTGTCAAGTAATCTTCAATCCTAAAAGAATATTTGTATCCCACATGAAGCTGCTCTCACCAAGATAGTGACTATGTCTGCCCAGTGCTCTATTTTGATGTGATATTGAACATAGTTGGGTCCTATAGAAGATCTTTTCCAAATAAAATAGATATGTGATTATTTATACAAAAGTTTTCAACTATTTATTATTTGTTTAAACACAGTTTTCGAACAGTTGTAGCAGATGGGCAGCATATTAAGATCTTTTGGAAGACTGGTGCTTAGTATTAGAAATATAATCCTAGAGTAACATGTAGAATCAGTATCCCAGTGGTGCAGAAATATCATTTTGAAATGCAAAATCCCCAGATTTATATTCATGTGCCTATGTACTAATAGCCAGAGCAGCAGCAGAAGACAGAACTAGACATAAATGCATCGTGTCCTTCTTTCCCCCAAAGTAATTGTTTCTCACTAACCCGTTTGCTTAATGCTGTTATAGTGAAAACCTCTGAGAGCTGTTTAGATAATTAGGTCCAGCTGTTTGGCTCATTCTATGACATGTTATCTCTACCATGGTATCCTCAAAGTGTTGTCCAGCAGACTGGTTCCAGGTGGTAACACTTAGCATTTGGTTAGCATTTTACTTGGTGGATATAGAAGTGAAATTCTTGCCATCTGCTCTGATAAATTGTTCTGTTCTTTGAGAAGGTTTATTGTATCTAATCAGAATTTAACACTGTAATTGAAGACTTTCTAGATTGATATCAAAAGCATTTCCTAGTCATATATGGCAGGGGTCCCCAACCCCTGGTCCATGGATCAGTACCGGGCCACGGCATGACAGCAACAGGGCCGCACAAACAAGCAAAACCCCATCCGTGAGATACAGGCAACACACAAAACCATGCACTCTCTGGGCCATGGAAAAACCTCTCTCCATGGAACTGGTCCCTGGTGCTCAAAAGGTTGGGGACTTCTGATATATGGGATCATTGGTTTCAATCGGCAAGGTCTGAAAAAGAAGAGAAATGCTTGAGTCGATCTGTTCCGCTACATGCAGTCTTAATCATTTGGCTTACAAAAGCTAGCAGAAGAATTTGGCTGGCTGGTTTGAAAAGATGGGGGGTTATCTAAGCAGGGGCGGGGGAAGGGGGTGTTATGAAAAGTGATAGTACAGTCTCTTCAGAGAAGGACTTCCTTGAACTCAGGTATAAAGGCAATCAACCAGTTGCTTTCCGGACAAAATGCTGAGATAACGACAGGCAATCAGCTTCAAACATCTTGGAGAAATTATCTATGGATGATGTTCTGGAGGTAAGGTAAGGATTCTAGGCTGAAGTAATCTTGCTAGTCCTGACTAGGAAGGGAAGTAAGGTAACTGCCATCTTGCTAGCACACTTGTGTCTCTCACCAGTTTTTATTGATTCTAGATCTTTTTTTGCACCAGCTACGCATGGTAAAAGTGGGTGGCTATGAGATGGTGTGAATGCTGATTCCAAAAATTGGAGATGTTCTATATAAACACGCACCTATTAGGTAGTCTAATCTCTATATGAAGCTGCTAGGTGAGATCACTAGAGTGGTACAGTATTGTAAAACGCATTTCTCCATGTCACCAGAATCAAGTGCAGCTGTTGGATCACTGTTGAAGTCTATAAGAATTTGATGGGGAAAATCACACACTAGGTGGTAGAGCTGTGAACTAATCACAGTGCAGGAATTCATATATTTTAGAGTACAGCCATGTACTTCATCTGGGGTTACTTTTGAAAACATTCAAATTGAAGCTAA